TGCATTTGGGGTGGATGAGATTGATTACCTTGGCCACAAGGTGTCTTACAAAGGGGTTCATGCTGATTCCAAAAAGATAGAGGCAATGATGTCTTGGCCACCACCTAAGTCAGTTAAACAACTGCGAGGTTTCCTAGGTCTCACGGGTTATTACAGACGATTTGTGAAGCATTATGCTATCATAGCTTCACCTCTCACGGATTTGTTGAAGCAAGGGGCTTTTAGCTGGAGTGAAGATGCTCAGCAAGCCTTCGATTACTTAAAAAAGGCAATGGCCAGCACTCCTGTTCTGGTATTACCCAACTTCAATATTCCATTTGTCCTAGAGACTGATGCATCCAATACAGGGATTGGTGTCGTGCTGCTACAACTCAATCAACCAGTTTCGTTCTTTAGCAAACGATTGGGTCCCAGACTAGCTACGACCTCTACTTATGTAAGAGAGTTGTATGCCATTTGTGAGGCTGTTAAGAGGTGGCGACAGTATTTACTTGGTGCTCATTTCACAATTCGTACAGACCATAAAAGCATTAAGGAACTGCTGGGGCAAACCATTCAGACCATGGAGCAACAAAAATACTTATATGGGCTCTCTCGTTGCTATGAGGAGGAGCAATTGGCTGCTGTCTATACGTTAATCGGTGAACCAACGTTTGATTTGCTAACTAGAATCAAAGAGGAAAATGGCAGGGAGGCATATCTGATTTCTTTACATCAGAAACTGTTACAGGATCCTTGTTCGTTACCTCAGATTTCTGTGAAAGAAGGCATGTTGTTCCATAGACAACGTTTTTTGCTGAGTCCTAAATCAAGCCTCATACCAGAAATTCTACAAGAAGCTCATGATTCCACACTAGGGGGACATGCTGGAGTACTCCGTTCCTTATTACGGGTATCATCATCGTTTTACTAGGATACAATGCGCAAGGATGTAAAGGACTATATACGTAATTGTCAAGTGTGCCAACAATTTAAATCCTCAACATCAGCTCCAAACGGTTTACTCCAGCCATTACCAACTCCTGAAGGCGTGTTTGAAGATCTTACTTTAGATTTCATTGTGGGCCTACCACTGTCTCATGGATTTACTACAATTTTAGTCACTGTGGATAGATTGAGTAAGTTTGCTTATTTTGGTGCATTACCCACTTCGTTCACAGCTGCCAAAGTAGCACAACTTTTCTGTGATATGATCGTTCGCAATCATGGCTTTCCACGCTCCTTAATTTTTGACCGTGATAGAATTTTTTTGAGCCAATTTTGGGTGAATTTATTCAAGCAAAGTGGCACCACTTTGAAGGCCAGTACGGCTTACCATCCTCAAACAGATGGACAAACGGAGGTAACTAACCGATATGTTGAACAATATCTACGAATTTTTTGTCATGAGAAACCTCACACATGGTCCCAATTTCTCTGTTGGGCACAATTTCACTATAACACTGCTGTCCACTCTGCCATTGGCATGTCTCCGTTTGAGGCTCTTTATGGTAAGAAACCTGTCATGTTACCTTATTATCCCAGGGGGTTAGTGAAAGTAGAGGCAGTGGATTCCTTGCTGCAAGAGAGGAATGCCTTACTGGTTGGTTTGAAACGTTCCCTGACTCGTGCTCGAAGCAGAATGAAAAATCAGGCAGATAAGCATCGACAAGAGCGGTTGTTTGAGGTGGGTGACTTTGTATGGGTAAAGCTCCAACCCTACCGCCAAGTTTCTGTAGAGAAGAGGAGTAATCACAAGCTAGGGAAGCGTTTCTTTGGTCCTTTCCGAGTTGCCAAAGTTATTAGCTCGGTCGCTTACCAATTGGATCTTCCTGAAGGGTGCAGAATTCACCCCACATTTCATGTCTCATTACTTAAGCCATGGTTTGGTCCTACCTCCCCCACACCATTATATGTACCCAAGTTATCCATTGATAACCGACCAGTGCAAGTACCAATTGCGGTGATTGCTTCACGCACACAAACCATTCGTGGCCAGCAACACAAGGAGTTTCTCATCCAATGGTCTGAGTCTCCACCTGAAGATGCATCATGGGAACACGAACAATACTTACGCAGTGCATATTCAGCTATCAACCTTGAGGACAAGGTTGTTGTTGAAGAGGGGAAATATGTTACACAAAGGGACAACAATAGCAACGAACAGAATAGAAGAGAAAGCATTGAGCCGGCCAAAATAATCAGGGAAAGAGTTCCTTCATCAAAGCTTAAAGACTACTATTGCTGAGGACACGTGTAAGTGGTTGGTGAGTTAGATGACAGGTGTAATGGGTTGGAAGTGGGAAAGTTAGAATAGGACACCTAGTCAAGGGTTAAGTAGGAACATTGTATATATGTCAAAGAGAACATTATTCTGATTCATTCATTGATGTAATAAACAATCGGTTACTTGAATACACGTATTGTACTTTCTGCTGCTCAGAGAGTTCTTTACCCATTTCATTGTTCTTGGTTCTTCTTCCTGTTGCTCAGGTAAATTGCAATAGTCACACTCCATCTATGTTAGATTAATTCCGTACGCTCCTCATATGGATAATGGCGGGATTTTTTTTTTTTTTGGTATCTTAGGATTTATTCGTTACTTGGTAAAATTATATGTATTTTAAAATATATAATTAAAATAAAAAATATACAATTGAATAAAAATACGCACAAAATATAAATTACTCTGCATGAGTCACAATATAATTTAATATAAAATAAATAAAAATATCAAATAAATTGGATTGATTACAAAATGAAATTAAAAATTAATTCTATTTATTATATATTTATATTGATATTCAGATAGACATCAAATATGTTTGAGATTGTTTACCAAAGTAAATAATTTTATCATGTTTAAATTTAGTTTGTATCCAATTTTCAAATTCTAATTCTATTATTTTTATCTTATTTATTTATTTATTACATTATGATATTTTTATAGGTGTTAAATCTATTTGAGACTGGCTAGAAAACAAAATTAATTTTATCATATTTAAATTTAATTTATATAAATTTACTTTTATATCTTTCTATTATATTTCACATTTTTATTTTTTTCAAACTAATTCAAACAATACTATTTAACAAAATTAGAGAAAAAAATAGCAAATAACATAAATGGATAATATAACAGTCAATTTTGAAATGTGAAGAGGGGCGATCGCCCCCTAATTCCCCTTTGATTTCACTATTGCATGTGGGACTGCCACATGTCATATGCGGTAGGGACTAGTACGAAATTATCCATGATCAAAAAATGACAATTTTTTATTTTTTATTTTTAAATATGTGCAGGGACCGCTCGATACATGACATTCCTACGTGGGGACCAGTATATTATGAATGGGATACGCGTCTTAAGATTGCATTATTTAGGAATTTTTTTTTTAAGTTATCCAATCTTAATTAATTTTTTAGATGAATTGACTTCTCTCAATATTTTCATAAGTTTTTTTTGGCCTTTTAAATAAGTTATGAGATTAATTTAAAGTGCGAAACATGTTAAAAATGAATATATTTAAACTCCTCGTAAATATAGCATGTGAAATTGAACCGTAGCCTTTTCCTTTTCACCGCTCAGCTTTCTTAGTACATACTGAACTATCACATTTGGTGGATTTTTTTTTTTAATGCATTAAAATGGTCGTTTAGCCAAGGTTTCCAAGATCCCTAAAAAAAGTTACATAATAGAAATAGAAGAAAAAATTACCAGAGTTTGAAAGTCTCTTAAATCCTGATACATGCATCCTCAATCCCTGCATGTCTCCCTCAAATCAGGTTACTCAATTTCAAACAAGTTACGAATTTTAGGTAATTTTTCTATAATGGATGATGAGAAGAAGATCTTGTCTCCGGAGGACCAATTAACAAGAGTAGTACATGGGGAGATGATAGCGAATGATAGGTATGTAACATACACAATTAACCCATGGGAGCCCATGATTCCCATGCGAGTTGATAATGAACTGGTAAAAGGGGAAAGCGATGGAAACCAAGGACAGAAACGTTTGAAGTTTCAAAGTTATCCATGTATGTATTATGCAGGTATGGTCTTTGTCTAGGCAAGATTAGGAATAGCAACGAGGAGCTGTACATTTGAATGCTCTCCTTGCATCGGCGTCGCATATAAATGCGACCAACATGATAAGATGACTGTCCCCAAAGCACTTCACATGGTTATGGGGCCTATAGCATAATAGCACTTCACTTCCTTTCTTATGCTAGCTTTTCATGCTCCCCACTCTAATTATTTCTTTATGTTTTTTTTTAGAGATATTTTAATCGGTTCACGTTTCATGACTAGTCCGATTCGGGACGAATCCTGAAATTAAGACTTTCAATCCTTCCCAAAAAAAATTATGAAAAGGATCAAACATATATTTTCATCCAAACTGCTCAATTTTCTGATACCAACTGAGCTACTAGATAAGATTGATTTCTTCTTCTTTCACCTTGCTCATAATTTCATCTTAGTTTCTTACTGCCCCCAAAAGGTTCGTAATATAGGTGGAGCTCGTGAAAAGAATGCGACCTAACTATTAATAACTAAGCAACTAAAACAGGAAAAGCTAAAAACTCAAAAATCATTTCAACCTAACTTAAGGTTATAAATACATATAAAAATAATTCAAACTAAAACTTTTTAATATATTTCTCTTACACAAATAAAAAAAATTAATTACTTTTTAGAAAATAAATTTTCATTTAATATATATAAAAGGGAGGATCATAGGCCTTTATCGAATATTGATGATAACTGGTGGTTGTCGTGTATCTTGCAACAATCAACCAACATTGTATCACGTGTCTACCTTCCATGCCTTTTTGTGGTTTTAGTTTAGCTTTTAAGGTCTAGTTCAGAGCAAGATATATTACGTGATATTACTATCTCAAGTCTCAATACCCAAACATTATTAGATATTTGCCGTTTTATTTTTTATTATTTATTATTACTATTATTATTTATTATTATTTTGTCCGTGGCTAGATTTCCATTTAACGCAGACACAGACAACAAAGAAAGAGGTTAGGAAGCAACTGAAGAAGAGCCATTATTTAGTTCCTGAAAGTAAGATCTTCGATGTCCCCTAATGATTCAGGACTTGAGAGTGAAGCGTGTAAAAGCCATGTGAAAAACGTTGCACAGGGATAATGGGCAGCCAAACCCTTTTTGACAATGGTTCAGAATATCTCTTTTAATTGATTTACTTCCATTTTTCCTCTTTCCCATTAAAAGCCATTTCTAGAAAAATCAACTTCTAATCATTTTATCAAGTGTGCCGCTTCTGAAGAATACAACACAGCCAAGCCAGTTCCAAATTTCTCAGTCTTCCTGATCCAGCACAAACTCAGCTTGAGGTATTTTCTAGTGTTCACTTGCATTATATACTAGAAAATATATAATTAATGATGATAATAATAAAATTTCACTCAATTAGAGAGGTTTCTTTGAATTGTGTTCCGTGCTTGTTTTGCGTCAACCATCTTTGCTTTCACTTTTCTACTATAAGAAACATTCTTCAGTATATATGAAGAAGTTCCATCAATTATCATCACAGATAATTAGCTTCCCTAATAAATTTCTTCTCTATTGCGTGTTCTTCTATTGGGATTAATTTCTATGGGCCCGACAGCGCCCAGATAACTAGCGTTGTTTGTCATAATTAGAAAACAACCCGTTTCTATATAGATGTCTCCTAAGGTCCCAAATAATAAAAAACTTGATATCCCCCTCCTCCAATTATTTGATCACATCTCATTATCAACTGACAAAACTACCCTTAAAAAATGTGAGGCCCTCAGAAGCTCCTGCAGTGATCCAACTCAATAAGGAGCACAAAATAGCTGAATGAAACACAGTTGAAATGACGAAACAACCCCCGACAACTCATTATTTGCCTTGGTCCCATTATATCACATACAATTCAATGCCCTGATATGAGAGCATGTTCTGGTGTTGAAATACACATTAAATCAAAAGAGTGAATTCAGTTCCATAACTGATTCCCAATCCAACTGAAATTTAAGTACTGAATGAAGCAGAATGTTATTATCTATGGAACAAAAATGAGATAAGAGTAAGGGATCTTATAAAAGTGACCTCATTATTATTACTAACAACATTCCTATATTAGTATAATTGCAAAGTACAACAGAGAGAGAGGTAGCTAGCGATGGAGCAGTTAGAAATAACACCGAAGAAATCATCGTCATCGTCATCAGTGAGATCATCATTTCACAGAGATCCTCGTGGCTCCCTCGAAGTGTTCAACCCAACAACCAACTCGACGGTGCGCTCTCAGCTCCTCCGGAAAACCTGGACAGAACCGCCGCAAGAACCACGCAACCCATTACCCTCCGATGAAATCATCACCACCTCCTGGATGGCCAACCCACCACCTCCGCCAGCCGGGGAATGCGGCGAGGCGGCGCAGAGAGCCGCCGAGTGGGGTTTGGTACTGAAAACGGACACGGAGACCGGGAAGCCGCGAGGGGTGGCTGTTCGGAACTCCGGCGGGGAGGAACCCAATGACAAAATAGTCGGTTCCTCTTCCAGAAAGAACTCCAACAACTCTGACAGAATCTCCGGCGACTCTTTTGACGGCGGCGCCAGCAAAGAATTCGGCGGGATTCCGAGAATTTCGAAAGACTTGAAGGACGCTCTGTCGGCGTTCCAACAGACTTTCGTGGTTTCGGATGCTACCAAACCCGATTACCCGATTATGTATGCCAGTGCCGGATTCTTTAAGATGACGGGTTATACATCCAAGGAAGTCATAGGAAGAAACTGGTACGTACTCGCTACCTTATTATTATTACATTAAAAAAAATGTTTGTGATTTTAAAAAGGGTCCTTTCTTTTGTTAAGTTCTTGGGAAAAAAAAATTATAATTATGATCTTAAAGTTATTTTTTTTCTATCTTCATAAATTATTTTTTTGACGTGAAGAGAAATTTTTTTTTACGATTACAAGATCATAATTGTGTATTCTCTAAAGAGAAAGTTATACTTATAACCTATTTTTGTTTATAACTTTTTACAGTTATATCTTAACTGTTAATTTTTGTCAATAAACGGTTATCATTTATTGCGAATTAATAATTAATTAATGAGTTTGATTTACAAAAATAATAATCGTTAATTGACATAAATTAACGATTAAAATATAATTGTAAAATGTTATAAAAAAAATGGTTGTAACTTAAAAATTTTAATTGCTGCAAAATTTTAAGTACATTTCCATTTAAAAAATGGTTATTTGAGTTAAAAATAATATTTTTTATTTAAAATTTAAATTAAAAAAAATCTTTCAATTTCTCATCATGTTTTTTATTATATATATTTTTCTCTCATCTAAAGTGACATAATTATATGTAACAAAAAAATGACACAATTATATTCTATAAAAGGATAAATTAAACACCAATCCTTATTATATTTTTACTTAAAATGAGAAAAAAAAAAATACAACGTTCGTCTTAACTTTGACAATGGTAAGGAAAGGATAATAATCATAGTAGTTAAAATTTTGATTTATTATTATGATTTTAATTTTTTTTATTAAAATAATTTTACTAATATTTTAAATATTTTTATAATTTCTTTACATTACGATTTTATATTTTATAATTTTTTATCACCATTTCAATTATATGTAAAATATCGATTTTAATTATCTTATTAATAACGTATTTTTAATTTCGGGTCGGAGTTGGGTCCAGTCGGCTTTTACAGGGTTTGGATACAGATCCGGAGGAAGTGGGAAAGATTAGGGAAGCGTTGCAAGCAGGGTCCAGTTACTGTGGAAGGATAATAAATTACAAGAAGGATGGGACACCCTTCTGGAACCTTCTCACTATTTCACCAATCAAGGACGACGATGGCAAAGTGCTCAAATTTATCGGGTTAGCTAATTTTTTTTTCTTCTTCTTAATTCATTAATATTTGATTTGAATTATCATTATATAATTATTTGTTGGTACAATTGTTATCATCTGGTGATAGTTGGGACCGAAAATTGACCTTTCATTGGTTTGGTCATGGCACACGAGGTGTCTGTTGCTAATCCTAGGATAAGATGAGTGTGAGGCAAGAGCTGCATGCATTTCACCTTAGACTGCGATAAGGACCACTCAATATGTCGTTTTCTTTGCATTTAGACTCTGTCAAAGTGACCTATGTTTAACTATTTGTGACAATTATAGATTGGTTTAGACATTTATGACTCTTTTCTTGGTTGGGGCGGTGTTTGTCATGAATGTGTGTAATTTTTTTTTAAAGATTTTTTCACCAATTCATCATTAATTTAGTTGAATTGGACAGAATTATACGAGCGATAAAATTTTTCTTATTAAATTTTTAACACAGCTCAACTATGTATTTAGAATTCAAATTTGAGATCATATATTAAACTGAGAAAATCTTATGTGAATTGATTTACATATTTGGGGTTGGAATATTTTAGAGTAAAACATCTTTTGGGTCTCTAACAAAAAATATGATCCCCCATTTAGTCTTTTACAAAAAAAAAAATAGTCTCAAGGTCCTTAAAAAATTCAAAGTGGATCAATTTTAGTTCTTTTGAGGGATTTTTTTTGAGTTTGTGAGGGATCACAATTTCAATTAAATGGATTCATTTTAAATTTCTTAGAGATCTTGAGATTTTTTTTTTATAAGAGACTAAAGTGAGGATCATATTTTTTGTTAGAACTCAAAAAGACTTTACACTCAACACGCCCCCAAACGCAAGAGCCCTTTAGGCTAGAAGTGTGGAATTTTTATTTTAATTCCACTTTTTAAAGTGGGGGACGGTGAGACTCTGATACCATGTAAAGAACCTTGAGGTCACCACCCCAAAAGCTAGCTCAAGGAGTGAGAGTGTCCAAAGCCTTATAAAAGCCATATTAGTTTCTCATCCAATCAATGTGGGACTATATATCTCAACATATTTGACCCAATTATTGAGAGCCTTGTGAAGTTGTGAATATAAGCCGTTTCCAAATTTTGGGCCAAAGGGACTTCCTTTTATCTTTTTGTTATTGTATACTTTGGCGAAAGATTCGAACGTACGCACTGGTTGCATGTGGGCTTTGATGTAATGACACAGAAGCCGTATAGCGGGATGCTTGCCCAATGTATTTTCTTTGTCTTGGTGATTGTCGCAGAATGCAAGTGGAGGTTAGCAAGCATACGGAGGGGTCCAAGGAGAAGATGCTACGTCCCAATGGATTGCCCGAATCATTGATTCGATATGATGGTATTAGACACATTATTTTGTCATTTCAATTTCACTGCAATAGTCATTCACATTGTTTAGTGATTTGAAGGAATAATGGGTTTCATTAAAACTTACGGTTAATCACAAAGGAAAACCATAAAATGTGTATGCGACAATTAGAAACTTAGTAATCATACTTCAAACAATGAAAAGAAACAGTAACTCAATGATGCGAATGAATTTTATTTTATTCATAAAAAACAAAAAAACAAATTGAAGTCAAGAAAAAACGATAAAATTAGGTTACATACCAAAAATGAAGTAGAAAATAGTAATGAAAACTACAGGTCAATGAGAGTACATTATTAGACACATTAGAATCAAATGACGTGTTCCTTTTTCTTGTCCCATAACTCAGCAAAGCCAAGCCATTACCGTTTCCCATTACTTTTTCATCTTTCCATTTTCACTATTATGAAGAACAAACTATATGACCATCATTTAATAAATTCTGAAGAAAACATTTGGCCTTTTTGTTCAATTTTTATGGATTTATTTAATGTTAAAGGAGATAAGTTATCTCATGTCATAGAGACAAACATATAAGCCCCACCACCTAAAAAAATAAAGAAAAATAAATAGGCTATACAGTTATCGAAGGGTGTGTAGTAAGAAAAACTAATCTTATGAGAATAGTTTTTCCCTTTATTTAAAGGGTTCGTTTTGTCTGCAGTTATCTGCAGTAAACCCAATACGATGTCGTTTTGGAGCTGAAATCACGGTGTTTTGTAATTTTAATTTATTCCAGGGTTATAATAGTCTTTATATTTATAATTTTTTAAGATTTCAATACCAAAACGACATCGTTTTGGGAATAAATGCGAATAACTTATCTGCAGTAACTTCAGAAATATTTTTTCCTTATTTAAATATAGGGGAAGGTTTTACTTACTATTTTTTTATCACTTCTTTTACCACTTTTGTTATTATTGGATCAAAATCGACTCTTACTCGATATGTTATTTTGTAACTATTAATTTAATTTTGATCTAAAGATAACAAAGTCAATAATAAAAGGTGTTAAGAAAAAATGGTAGTAAGTATAATTTATCTTTTACATATATTATATACTTAAATACCGCTCATTTTATGCCGCGCATATACAACACACAGAAATGATAAAGATTCAGTATCAATATGACAATGGAAGTTCAAATATGAGATTCTTATTTGGGTCAATGTTGTACGACTGGTTATTATAGAAAACTAGCTAGAAGTAAAACAAGGCAGCAAATAACTATAGAAAGTTGTTTCACTATGCATGTGTCAAACAAATTTTCCTACCATCTCATGCAGAGTAATAAGAGATTTTCATATCTATTTTTAACTGCACTAACAGCTTGTGTATTATACAGCTCGTCAGAAAGAGAAGGCTACAACTTCAGTATCTGAGTTGGTGAAGGCAATGAAGCGCCCCCGAGCATTCAGTGAATCAACGAACCGTCCCTTGATCATAAAATCAGGAGGTGCTGAAGAAGAAGAAGAAGAGGAAGAGAAAACAGAAAATATATTAAGGAGAAAATGTGAGAGTGTGGCTTCATTTAGACGGAGATCACTAGGAGGAAATAGAAATTCAATGGAAGGAATCAGTGAGCTTCCTGAAAATAAACAGAAAAACTCTCATCGCCGTTCTTTCATGGGGTACATATGGTTATTTACTTGTGTTATTATATACATCTCGTTCTATGTTTTTGAGATAATCACTGTAAATTTTTTTAACTAATTCTCCAATTAGTATATTACAATATTATGTCCTTCTATATGCTTCAGATTCATCACAAAAAATCAGTCCAACGATGAAAGCATCAATGATAATGTTATTGAGGATGTTAGCTCTGAGAATGAAGTTGATGAGAGGCCTGATAGTTTTGAATTTGATGATAAAGAAAAGCAAAGGGAAAAGCGAAAAGGTCTTGATCTTGCTACCACACTTGAACGTATAGAGAAAAACTTTGTCGTTACTGATCCAAGGCTTCCTGACAATCCTATAGTAAGATTCTTCAAATCATTTATGTCATTACAGCAAAGTGTTTCCCTTCTCTGTTGGATTCTTGTACTGGAGGTAAAGATCTAACAAGATGGAGTTTGTATTTGGTTTTTACTTTTTCAGATCTTTGCATCTGATAGCTTTTTAGAGCTTTCAGAATATAGTCGTGAAGAAATCTTGGGAAGAAATTGCAGGTATGCTTTAATTTCACATTACCATGCAAATCAATATTTTAATGCTTTTGTTCACGCAAGCCATCTACAAAAATCTAACTGAAATTGATTTTAACAGAATATTATAAAATTTCGCCTCCAACTCTACCTCAAGCTTCGTTTATTGCATTTTAAATGTTTCCAACTTTCCATCAATGATAAATGGGAAAATTCCAGAAATAAGGAGCCTAGTCCAACATAGAAGATACATATAAGCATAGCAAAATCACTAAAAACTTCAGGAAACTGAATTTAAAAGTAAAATAATTACATGGCAAGTATACTGATGCTAGATGGAAGCTAGTGACACAAATGTAAATGCTTTTCTGAAAATTTCAAAATATTGATGTACCTGGAAATGATGAAAAAGGTGTTTCTATTATGTCAAAATTCAGTGTATTTACATTATAATGGTATTTGGCTATTCAGGTTTCTGCAAGGACCTGAAACTGATCCAGAAACTGTGAGGAAAATAAGAGAGGCAATTGACAACCAAACAGAAGTTACCGTGCAACTCATTAATTATACAAAGAGTGGTAAGATTGCTTAATTTTCTGCTGGGAAATCCACTTTCATAGGCTAATTTCTTAAAGATTGGTTTATAGTTATTACATGAATATTCCGTACAGGCGTACATAGTAGTATGGAATATCTAATTGAGTTTAAAATGATAGGAAATATTTACATGATATTCAATGCCACACTATTGAGTTCATTACAAGAAATAAAAATATTGTTACCTCCAAATTTTTCATGAATACATTAACCTGTATTAGTACTAGTCCATAAAAAACAGTTATCAATATTTGCATATATATCCCAGTTTTGGAATCCTGAATCCCTTTCTTAGCGTACAAAGGAAATATAGCTATTTAACAACTTCAAGCTCAATAATTTTGCAATTATTACTACACTTGCTATTGATGAATTCTCTGATCAACCCAGGCAAAAAGTTCTGGAACCTGTTTCATTTGCAACCCATGCGTGATCAGAAGGTACAGATTATATTAGTCCTCCGATGATGTTACATCTTTTAATATCTTGCCGTACAATTTTGTTTTTGGGTAGTTAATCATATTCCATTCATCTATACTTTAACAGAACACAAAGCTTAGCTTTCGTCTCTTTTCCTCGTGGTTTAACAGGGAGAAGTACAGTATTTTATTGGTGTTCAACTTGATGGCAGTCAACATATAGAGCCTCTTAACAACTGCATCGCAGAAGATAGTGCGAAGGAGGGAGAACAATTGGTTTGGTCTCTATTCAAGTGCTTCATTAGTTTAACATGCATTGAGATCTCAAATCATTGTCAACATCATAATATCCAATTTCAGGCTTTACAATTGAGAGTCTATAAAGCCTATTGATTATGATTTCCTTTAACACTTTTTAAATCTGTTATTAGCTTTGTTTTTTCATATAATATTTGTTGGCATTATCTGTAACAGTAGGAAAGTTTGTTCAATTTTATTACGCTTTGTATATCCCTATTTATAACAAGTTCACTTGACATCCACCCTCAGGTCAAACAAACTGCAGAAAATGTTGATGAGGCAGTGAGAGAACTTCCAGATGCTAATCTAGTAAGGTCTACTGGTTATCTTTGTCTCCTAAAGAGCTTTTGAATTCAATTGTGACATGACCTCTTTGGTGATCTCCAGAAACCAGACGATTTATGGATGAATCATTCAAAAGTGGTTCATCCCAAACCTCATAGGAAGGGTAACGCTGCTTGGAGAGCTATTCAGAAGGTATTACTTCTGTATTTTAGAATGTCATGTTTTCCTGTATTTATTGATATTTCTATTAACTGATTAAAGATTTAGGAATTTCTTTTACACAGTATGGCTATAAATTACAAACAACAAAAAACTTCATCATGTTTAATTGTGCTGACTTATCTTTTTGTTCTTTGTATTTCCATAGTTTCTTTAGATTTCTGGGAATTGATCATAATTTTCTCTTTAATTATGTATTATATTGAAGATTATATTAATTGAGTTGGTAAACATGACATGAAACCATTATAGATACTTTTGTATTCCATAGGGTTGTAAGTACTGGATTTTGTTCCTAGTCACTTCTTGAATGTCTTATGCAAGTTATCTTACTTTTGCAACTTGTTTTGTGACCTTGGTTTCTTGGTTTTTTGCAGATCCTAGACACTGGAGAACAGATAGGCTTAAAGCACTTTAGGCCAATTAAACCTTTGGGGTCAGGAGATACTGGCAGGTTTTTCCCCCCCTTGATTTAGCTTTTCCATTTCCCATCATTTCACAATGGCCTAAAATGGTGGCATGTGGGTTGAATTAAATGCCTGGTGAAATGAATTGCAATCCTACGAGTATGATGCTCTGGATAACCACATATGGCCGACATACTTTTTTATGATTTCTTCACTTCAACTAGTAATTCTAGCATTTCTTTAATGGAATTTCTGCATATATTAAGAGAATTATAAGTTATAAGTGAATTAGTCCCTTGATAGCTGAAAATTCAAGAGAGGTCAATATTTTAAAATCTTAATTAGATTTTCTTCATTGATTTGGATGATAAGAAGTTTCTTTCTGCTCCATTATTTTTCCACATCAAGCTTATGTGGCAGTGATATCATATATTACTGGCTTGCAGCGTACATCTGGTGGAGCTGTGTGGAAGTGGTCAATATTTTGCCATGAAGGCTATGGATAAGGGTGTTATGCTCAATCGTAACAAGGTTTTGAATATGATTATTTAACATGACTATTTTCTTTTTCGTTTTAACTGCTACAACCTAGACATGTTTGTGTTGAAGTTATTATATACTGTATTGGCTTCATTTTCATTGCCTTTTGGTGATACAAGTTAACTTCTATCACTTAATTCAAGTCTATAATGACTTTTCAATATTCAAATACACTAAACTATTTTCAATATATATATATATATATATAAGTGTTTCTAATTACCTTAACATTTTAGTGGGCTAAATCAAGTTATAGCAGCATTTACTACTTGTCGTAATAGGATGGGCTTTCTAAACTTTCTACAGGTGCATAGAGCTTGCACAGAGAGAGAAGTCCTTGACAAATTGGACCACCCTTTTCTACCTGCATTATATGCTTCCTTTCAGGTTCGAAACTCAAAACATTATTTTCAAATAAGATACTCAATAATTATTAATGACTAGAGTTGCGAATAACTGGTTGGAACATTAGGATCTTTATGATTGCTAGATCACTTTGCCCCCTTCTGCACAGAAGCCTGTGATCATTGAGTGCACATATGTCACATCACAATGTCTTTATCATAGACCCTTGCTTTTATGGATAATGATTTCACAAATTATATTCTCTGTCTTGACCTAGATTAATGCCTTTATTTTCTATTACAATTGATTCAGAAGTTAAAGAATAACAAGGATGTTCACGTGGCTGCTTTTCTATATATTGATTTTGTCAAGTATTTGGAACTTGATTAATTTGCAGACCAAAACACATGTTTGTTTGATAACTGATTACTATCCTGGTGGAGAACTATTCCTGCTTCTTGACCGGCAGCCAACAAAGGTTCTCAAGGAAGACGCGGCGAGGTATATTATGCTACTGCTCAAAGAATTTATGCATATATATAACAAATTTAGAGTTTGAACACAATCAAGATGAGTAACGGGTGAGATGTCTTTTCCCTCCCACTTTGGTTGATCTGACGAGGGAAGGGTTATCGTGTGTGTATATGACGTTTTCTCTTGTTTATTTATTTTTTTGTGCACCTTTTTCTCTTAATTCTACGGGAAAGGATATTGTAACAACCAAGTTGTGTTACTACCAATCAATCTTACCGTTAGATCGATTATATTGATCCAACGGTTATATTTATTTCCATCTTTGTATGGTCATGATTTCCCAAATTTAATACTTTATATTTATTTCCACCTTTGTGTGATTATGATTTCTCATATTTAATGCTTTCAGTAAAGAACCAATTCAACCCAAAAGCTTAAGTTGTTGGGTGAGGTTAAATTAATGATTTTATATATCTCAACACGCCCCTTCACATGAGAGCCCACTGAGCTTGAAGAGTGGACAATGCATAGGAAAATTCTGAGGATCGAACTCAAGACACGAGGCTCTGATACCATGTAAAAAATCAATTCAACCCAAAAGTTTAAGCTGTTGGATGAGGTTAAATTAATGGTTTTATATATAACAAATCGATCTAACGGTGAGATTGATTGGTAATAACATTGGTAGTAACACAACTTGGTTGTTACAATATCTTTCCCTTAATTCTATTAGTCAAACTAATGAACTTTCGAGTATTCTAATCTCTCTGTTGTTCTATATAAATTATGTTGCATAGAAATAGTAACTTACGTCAACGAGTCTAAAACTCCTACTCCTACCAAGTTTGTGAGGGCCTGAATCTCTCTGTTTTTGAGATAACATTTCATATATTCTTGATTGTGATATTTTAATTTTGAAATGAGATTGATACTGATAGTGTATCTAATATAATCAGTTAGGATTGTAACTGATATATTCTGTTATAACTGTTTGTTAACAGTTATATTCTGTTATTAGTGCTTAAGCCTTTGGTGAGTAGAATAGCTTAGTATATATAGATTATACCTGTAACACTTAAGCTCTTAAGATTCTTTTCATAATATACAAAGATTACAGATTTCAGTTTCTTTCTCTAAAGTCTGATACCTTACAGATACCTCAAAACTATTCAAATAGTACTGTCTGTTTCAGTCTAACAACTTTCAATCGACCGTTCAATAACCACTACTAAAGCAAAGGATCGTTATTCAACTATGTCTGCTACTTCTTGTGTTTCTCTATTTTCCTTTAACTGACATTAAGTTCTTAATATATATGTAGATTTTATGCTGCTGAGGTAGTGATTGCATTGGAGTACCTTCATTGTCAAGGTAAGCTCTTATGAAATATATATATATATATATATATATATATATATATATATATATGACATCATGATAATTATTTTTGTTGCCTTCTCTTTTAACTCATGAAACTGTCTTACAACTTGGGAGATGTTTTTAATTGACAAAATATTTCTGAAACTCTGGGATGAACTTATCAGGCTGCCTGCAATCAGCATAAATGTAATGAAATATTTTTTTTTCTTCTCCTTTCCTTTGCAATCATCATAAAGACATCAAAGTCTCATACACAGACCTCCTAGCAATTACATGATCCTTTTATCACAAATTTCTGCCCTTCGAAGAAATCTTGCCACATAAATTCTACTGAAATATACTAAGACACTTACTAGAACAAAATTTAATATGACATTGTTTGGTGAGAATTTACAGGGATAATATACCGGGATTTGAAGCCAGAAAATGTGTTGATCCAGAGCTGTGGGCATGTGTCTCTGGCAGATTTTGATTTGTCATGTTTAACATCTTGCAAGCCACAGGTATCTTAGAGACAAGAACTTCAGATAATGTAGTTTTTAATTAGATGCAATACTTTTAACTCAGGCCACTGAAACAGTTTTATTTACGTCTGACTGCACTTTTTACAGCTTATAATTCCAGCTACAAATGAAAAGAAAAAAAAGAAGAAGAAGAAACAACAGAAAAGTCAACAGTTTCCATTGTTTATAGCTGAACCAATGAGAGCATCAAATTCTTTTGTTGGCACGGAAGAGTATATAGCTCCGGTTTGTTTTTCCTGGACATATTATATATTATTGAGCAGCAAAAACTATGGTTCTAGATACGCTTGGTTCAGATACTTAATTTTTATGGTGAATGCACCAATTATTATACATATGGTGCATTTGAATATATTATAGAACACTTTGCATTTTGTTAAGAAAAGTCATTTATTGTTGTGCATATATACTTGACTAGTTTGTAAAACTTTTTTTTTTACTGACAAATTGTAACATGGATCTGTTCGTTAAATTTAAAGGATTGTTTTATGCAAGCAAGCATGAATTAATTAGCACGAAGTGAGTGGAGAAATCTTGCATTGATTATTCAATCATTGTTGATGAGCTTGCCAATTAGACATGAACTATTCTTATTCCTGTAGAGACCTTAATGTTTCTTGAAGGGGTGGGGGTGGGATCTTTGTGGCTAGCCGGTATACTGGGAATTCTATTGCATTCATGCTATTTGAACTTCTTTGGAAATTTGTATGCATTTCTTAGATTTTGTTCTAACCGACAGTTCAACTTGTGCAGGAAATTATAACTGGTTCAGGCCATACTAGTGCTGTGGATTGGTGGGCACTGGGTAATTTTTAACTCCTATAAAAAACAAAGGCAATTATGAATATAAATCAGTCTCTAAACATTGAAAAAGATTAAAATAGGAAAGTCCGATTGTATTATATTTTAGTATGTGTAATTGTGTAGTGGATATTAATGTTTCCATAGATAACTAAATCAGTTTTTATGCATATGTTATTCTATTTCTCTTTATTATTCTTAACTCTTTTCCTTGTTGCCTTTTTTTTTTTTACCGGGGTTATGCACATCTGATTTAATGATTTGGAAAATAGAAGTTGAAACAGTTATAAAAAGTCAATTCAAATGCTAGAAATAAACATTTACGTCTCATCCTTATTGCATCCATCTCATGTTAAAATATTGTGATTAACTGAAATTATTGGCCACATCATAACCAGTTTGACTCTTTCACACACAAACAGCACTCACATGACTATAGAGTTTTGACATATTTGAAATAAATTATATCACACTGTTTGACTGCATTGTTTTTTGTTTTTTTAAGGTATTCTTCTATACGAAATGCTTTATGGGTATACGCCGTTCAGGGGAAAGACAAGACAAAAAACATTTGCAAATATTCTTCACAAGGACATTAAGTTTCCCAAAAGAAAACCGGTGAGATTGTTCTCCTGCGTAACTTACTATAAAAATAATCTGACATCGGACAATTACATGCAGGGATACTCAAAAATAGTTTTCTACCAAACATGATTTTAGACTAACTGCAAAATAATCAAATCATTGGCTTTAAGGAAGGAAACATGAAGTTATGGAATGGTCACGTCAAATTCTTATGAAAATCCCATTCATATATAATCAATGATAATTTTTGTTTTAATATGTATTAACAGATATACACAGTTACACAATTCCCATTTTGTAATTTTTCGTTTGTTATTCTTTTCTGTTATCTGTTGTTTGCCTTTTTCTATTGCTGACTCCCTCACTTGCGTATTTCACGGGAGTTTGTTACTTTGTATTCTTTCCTATATATTGGGAGCTCTCAAGGCATTGTACTACACTGAGTATCAAGATAATGAAACCTGCATTTTATTTTTCACCTGATTGCTTTTCTGCTTCTGTATCTGTAAAATGGTATCAGATTTAACAGTTCTTTCCTAGTCACTGCTCTGGCCTCTTTCCATGGCTCGTGGCGGTGCTAATAGTAATACCTCTAATCCCAATGGTGGAGGTTCTTCTGGCCCATCTCAATCCGTTGATGACACCAATAGTCCTTACTATCTCAGTAATGGTGATCATCCCGGTTTGATTCTGGTCACTCATTCCCTAACTGGTTCGAACTTCATCTCCTGGTCCAGAGCTACACTTATAGCTCTTACAGCAAAGAACAAATCATCCTTTGTTGATGGTGTTCTCCTTCGTCCTTCTCAGGACCATCTTCTGTTTCATGCTTGGAATCGATGTAATTCCATGGTCATTTCCTGGCTTCTGAACTCAGTCTCCAAGGATATCGCTGATAGCTTGATGTATTTTACCAATGCCTATGACATCTGGACCGATCTTCGTCATCGCTTTCACCAAGCTAACGGCCTTCGTATTTTTCAATTGAAACTCCAGATCTCATCTCTGCATCAGGGTGCCCTTTCTATAAACACTTACTACACCCGTTTGAAAATTTTGTGGGATGAGCTTCTTGATTACTCCCCTTCCTATCCTTGTACATGTGGTGCTTTACGGTCCATTACCAGTGATCGTGACCAGGACCATGCCATGCAATTTCTCATGGGTTTAAATGATTCCTTCTCTTCGATTCGGGCACAGATCCTTCTCATGGATCCCCTTCCGTCTTTGTCCAAGGTTTTCTCCTTGGTTCTGCAAGAAGAACGACAGAGGGAGATTACATCCTCGGTCTCTGTTACTCCTGATGTTGCTCCTCCACCGTCCATGGCTTCTCCACCTTCCGTTGCTGCTGCCATTGGGGGAGTTCCACGCCGTCAGCGCCCTTTCTGCACCCATTGTAACGGTTTGGGCCACACTAAAGACAAATGTTTCAAGTTGCATGGCTACCCACCAGGGTATAAGCCCAAATCGACCAGGCCCAATCTACCCCCTCACTCAAACGCCAGCGTTTCAGCTATTGCTGATTCATCCTCCCCTTCTCATACCTTTACACCACATCAGTACCAACAGCTCCTCACCCTAATTTCATCGAACCCCACCTCACCGTCTTTCTCTCCACCGCCTTCCCCAAATCTCGATATTAACCCCACCGTTGCCAGCTTCAGTGGTGAGTCCCCCTCTTCCTTGCCTTCTTCTTGCTGGGTTCTGGACACCGGAGCTACTCATCACGTCTCCTGTGTTCCTTTATCATCAGCACACACCCTTTCCACATATGAATCCACCGTGTCTCTTCCCAATGGAACGGTTGTTCCGGTGACCTCCAAGGGGTCTTGTTCTTTTTCTGATTCTCTCACCCTTACTGATGTTTTATTTGTTCCAGTTTTTTCTTTTAATCTGTTGAGCATCGGTGCTCTTACTCGTCATACTGACATTGTTGCTCATTTTGTGTCTTCCCATTGTTTTCTTCAGGAACGTCTCTCGGGCAAAATGATTGGGATTGCTAATCTGGTTTGTGGGTTATACATCCTTGATTCTGCTGCTCTTCTCCCCACAAATCATGTTCCCCCACCCCTTTGTTTTTCTGTTGTTCAAAAGAATGTTGCCTTATGGCACTCTAGACTAGGTCACCTCTCTGTACCAGTCTTATCATCAATGAAAGAATTTTTACATTTGAGTTCTTGTTCTGAAAGTTTACATTGTAATATTTGTCCTTTAGCTAAGCAAAAGCGCTTACCATTTTTGTTAAATCCACAATTATCTCTTCAACCTTTTGACTTAATCCACTGTGACATCTGGGGCCCATTCACCCCTGTCTCCATTGATGGTTTTCGGTTTTTTCTTACACTTGTGGATGATTGCACACGTTTCACTTGAATTTTTTTTCTTAAATGCAAATCTGATTTTTCCTCAGTTTTCACTAATTTCTATACATACATTATGAATCAGTTTCGTGTGTCCATCAAGTCTATCCCTTCTGACAATGCACCTGAATTTAAAATTCCTTTATTTTCATCTAAAGGGATTGCAGTCTTTCACTCCTGTGTCGATAGACCTCAACAAAATTCTGTGGTCGAACGTAAACACCAGCACATTCTAAATGTTGCTCGTGCTCTTCATTTCCAATCGCATCTCCCTCTCCCCTATTGGCAGGAGTGTGTCTCAACTTCTGTTTATCTTATTAATCGTACATGTTCTCCTGTTTTGTCCAATAATACTCCCTTTACTCTTCTTTACAAACAGCCGCCGAAATACTCTCACCTTCGTGTTTTCGGTTGTCTTTGTTATGTCTCCACACTTACCCGCAGTAGACACAAGTTCTCCCCTCGGGCTCTTCCTGCAGTTTTTCTTGGTTACCCAGCTGGTTACAAGGGTTATAAGCTGCTGGATCTCAATTCCAATCGAGTCTTTATATCCCGGGATGTCGTTTTCTTTGAATCTGTTTTTCCATTTGCCTCTTCTCCTATATCTTCTACTCCTCTTGTTTCCATACCTGATACATCCCTACCTACTCAACTCACCACTGCTGCTGTCCCCAAACGTCCTTCAAGAGCCACTCATCCCCCTACTTACCTTAAGGACTATGCCTGTTCTACCACAACAGCCCATCCTATGTCCCGCTCTCTATCCTATCATCATCTTTCCCCTGCTCACTTGGCTTTTATCAACACCTTGTCCTCCCATTATGAACCATCTCATTATTCCCAGGCTTCTCAGTTACCCGAATGGTGTACTGTTATGCAACATGAAATATCTGCTCTTGAGCAGAACAAGACTTGGGATATTGTTTCCCTACCCCCTGGTAAATCAGATATTGGATGCAAATGGGTTTACCGCGTCAAATGCAATGCTGATGGCAGTCTTCAAAGGTACAAAGCTCGCTTGGTTGCACAAGGTTACTCTCAAAGGGAAGGCATTGACTATTTTGAAACTTTTTCTCCTGTCATCAAGCCTACCACCGTTCGCCTACTTCTTGCTCTTTCTGCAATTCATGGTTGGTTTCTTCACCAATTGGACGTCAATAATGCGTTCCTTCACGGTGATCTCAGTGAGGAGGTTTATATGAAATTGCCTCCGTTATGGCTGTCACAGCACGTCACTTCCTCCAAATCCAGTCTGCCGATTAAGGAAATCTCTTTATGGCCTCGAACAGGCCTCTTGCCAATGGTTTCAGAAGCTTAGTTCCACGTTGCTTTCAATGAATTTTTCACAATCTGCAACGGATCACTCTTTTTTTTTGAAATATAATGGCACAATTATGCTTGATGTGCTTGTTTATGTTGATGATGTCATTGTTGCCTCCAATGATTCTAACACTATTCGGCAGTTTATTTCTTCCCTTGATAGCTGTTTCAGGTTAAAGGATATTGGCTCACTTAAATACTTCCTTGGTGTTGAAGTGGCTCGGTCATCCACAGGCATCTTTCTCAGTCAACGCAAATATATTCTTGATATTCTTCATGACACTGGTCTTTCTGGATGCAAGCCCAAATCTACTCCAATGGAACCAAACCTGACTCTTTCCCAACATACTGGTGACTTGCTGCCAGACCCCACTCCTTTTAGAAGACTTATTGGCAGGCTGATTTATTTATCATTTACTCGACCAGACCTGTCCTTTGCTGTGAACCGACTCAGTCAATTTTTATCTGCTCCTAGAGTTCCCCACTTACAGGCTGCCCATCGTGTTCTAGCCTACCTCAAGCACACAGTTGGTCAAGGTATCCTCTTCTCGTCTGAATCTGCGTTACAACTCAATATTTTTTCTGATTCTGATTGGGCAAGCTGCCCTGATACCCGCCGCTCCATCTCTGGCTTCTGTGCTTTCATTGGTAACTCTCCTATTTCTTGGAAGTCTAAGAAACAATCCACTGTATCAAGGTCTTCTGCAGAAGCTGAGTACCGGTCTATGGCCAATGCCACTTGTGAAGTTATCTGGATTCTCTCTTTACTGCATGATTTTCACATTGCTCATCCCTCTCCTGCACACCTGTTCTGTGATAACAAGGCTGCCCTCCACATTGCTGCCAACCCCGTCTACCATGAGCGTACAAAACATATTGAAATCGATTGTCACCTCATCAGGGAACACATTTCCAAAGGTTCACTGCAGACTTTCCATGTTTCTTCCAACAACCAACTTGCGAACCTGTTCACCAAGGCTATTCATCCCTCACAATTCAACTTCCTTCTTTCCAAGATGGGAGTTTCAAATATCCACTCTCCATCTTGAAGGGGGGTATTAACAGATATACACAGTTACACAATTCCCATTTTGTAATTTTTCGTTTGTTATTCTTTTCTGTTATCTGCTGTTTGCCTTTTTCTATTGCTGACTCCCTCACTTGCGTATTTCACGGGAGTTTGTTACTTTGTATTCTCTCCTATATATTGGGAGCTCTCAAGGCATTGTACTACACTGATTATCAAGATAATGAAACCTGCATTTTATTTTTCACCTGATTGCTTTTCTGCTTCTGTATCTGTAAAAATATGCAATAAGTCTTGATGCATGCAGGTAACTCTCCATGCAAAGCAGCTAATTCACTGGTTGTTGCACAGAGATCCCAAAAACAGATTGGGTTCACAGGAAGGAGCAAATGAAATTAAGCGGCACCCATTTTTTCGTAGTGTCAATTGGGCACTAATTCGTTGCATGGTATAACATAGTAACTGAATTTTATAGTAGCAATGGTTTCCATATATTGCTACGATGTTTTCTTCCACGTCTAGTTTAATTTTTTTTTGTCGTAAAGTGTTTGATTAGTAAAGCATTTCTTTTCTTAACCAGAAACCTCCTGAGCTTGATGCTCCTCCCTTACTGGCAACTGAAGAAGGAAAAGAAGCCAAAGATGTAGACCCCGAGCAAGAGGATTTACAAACAAATGTTTTCTAAAAGGTCTTTCTTCCTCCCTCTCTATATGTATATGTTGTGGTTATATTGTTATTGGGTTTAGTGAGTGTATGCATTCCGAGAATGCATAGTTATAATATTAAAGTTGTATTTTTTTTTTTCTCTTGAGAAGCTATCTGCTGATGTGAAAAGTAAAAAAAGTACAATTTTAATATTATAATAATGCATTCTCGGAAATGCATAGTTAAAAACAGCTAAAAGTATATAAGTTTGTGTCCTTTAAAAGGACACTGTTTTGTCCCATTGTTATTTTAGTGACTAGTTATTAACTTAATATCTTGTGGCCTGTAGGTTAGAGGATGAAGTTATATGGCATTCATGAAACGCATGATGAATTCTTTGCGTTTCTCAACAATTAAAGGAATTTCAATCTGTTGCTTCAGTGGTGTAAAGTTTGATGCGTTCATTGTAATTTAAGAATGGAGTTCTACTGCAGTTTTTGATAGTTTATGCTACTAAGTTGGCTGGCCTTCCAATAGGGGATTAGGGGTTGGGGCATCATTCAGTTAGTCTAGTGTTGAAATTCTTGTATATTTTTATAATATTTTAAGTCAATTAACACTATATGATGTAAAAAGTAAATCTGTATTGTTAATTTTTATTTAAAAAAAGACCTCTAATTACAAATCACAAAAATGTTGAACAAACCCGTTTTAGAAACTTATATTAGCCGAAAAAAGTAAGGGATTAGTGTTTCTTATGTTATAGAAGATAATTTTATCTTCTATATAAATATAAAAGTGGGTAGGATTCATATTTTTATATGACTTTATATTGGTCTTATATACTTTTATATATATGTAGGAAATAAATAATATGAGAAACATTAATCCCACTATTGGGCTCCGACACATACCTTACGTGGGAATCTTTTCGGCTTTTTCATCTTTTTGTCCTTCATTAATTATTTAATAACTATTTTGTCCCTTATTGCAAACTATCTACCAATATGTCCCTCTTTAATCGAATAAGTCAAAAATTTAATCGACTAAATGGTCAAATGAAGATTTAATTGATTAAATCTTCAATTTAATCGATTAAATCTTTCTCTTTACCAGAAGAACAACCTTATGCATGGGAGATTTAGTCGATTAAATAGAGAGATTTAATCGACTAAATCTTCAAGCTATTTAATCGACTAAATCTTCAAGTCAACGATTTTTGCCTATTTTGACCATTTAATCGATTAAATTTTTGGCTTAATCGATTAAAGAGGGACAGATTAATAGATAGTTATAAATAAGGAGCAAAATGGTTATTAAATAGTTAATGAGGGGCAAAAGGATGAAAAAGCCGAATCTTTTCTCTTACAAACGATGTAAAAATGTGTACGTTCATCATCTATTCACCTTTTTTTTACATGCATCTATTCACCATATATTGGATATTGAATTTAGACCAAAAGTTTCTTGGTAATGTTAGCACTATACGATAAAATATTTTTCATTTTATTTTATATATTAATTAATTAAGTATCAAATTAAATCACAAACGAGACTTAAGTAATTAATAAATAAATCAGACAAAAAAATTAATCTTCCAACTTAACCAAAGATAAAATATAATTAATCGTGCAGCTAAAGAATGCTTGAGAAATCTAGTAAGACAAACAAATGAATTGAACTATTAATATAATTAAAGTTAATTGATAGTTTTATTTACATTTTAATACTTAGTTAATTTGGGCAGTTTCCCTTTACTCTACCAAAAAAAAAATGTACTTAGTTACTTAGATAAATTATTGTTTGAATTATTTTTTGGTATTTTGAGTTAAATTAATTTAATGTTTGACTAAAATAAAGAAATTATTGTATATGTTTATGGAAATTTCCATAATTTATTTTAAACACACTATATAAACTTTAGGCACGCCTATTTAAAATCAATATACTGTAGAGATTTTTATTATAATAAGCATAATTATATTCTACGAGCATGCTAGAATTTCTCAAACAACCATATTTCTCAAAAATGAAATGCTTATTTGTTGGTGAGGTGAACAAATGTATAATTTCTTCATTGTTATTTAGTTCACCGAACCAAACCATGCCGTTTGTCCTTGGGCTCGTCTCACACACGCTGTCCCTTGTCTATCTCGTTAACGGGAACTGGGCCGGGCCGGCTTACAGGGGCCTACGATAGGTCGGATCTGATTTAGTATATTTTATAAAATATGTCAAAGTTGAGCCTTGAAAAAGCTTGTTTAATTTACATAGTATGAATTTGTTTGTTGGATCTGATGAAATATATGTTATTTAGTTTGAGCATTTTATTTTTGAAAGTAACTTAAATGCAGATTGTATGAGTTTTGTTGTGATTCATGATTCTGTTTGGACGTTGAAATTATGATTTTTGGATTAGCAACAGAATTTGAGTATTTTGTAAAGTTGATTCATGGTTTTGCTTGTTAAAAATTAACAGGCTAATAGGCTAGGCCAGACCATTTGTTTTTTTTTTTTTATATAAATGGGTCAAGTCAGGCTAATAGTTAGACTCGTACTAAGCTTAAGGCAAGCAGAATTAAAAAATTTTGACGTAGGCTTAGACTTTTCGGAATAAAGTTTAGCCCAGCCCAGCCCGCTTTTACCGCTGGGCTTCACCATCCATTGCTAAGAGACGAACACATAAACTAGTGGAAAGGTCAATTCTAAAATTTAAGTAAATTATATTTTAGTATTTTTAAAATAGATCGGGATTAGTTTACACAGGTATAAGTTGCATTTTTAATCTTAATTGTTGATTATATTTATATTTAATGGGCTAATTTATTAGATATCTCAACCATTAAATAAAAGCAAATCAATAATCAAAATTTGATGTAAGATTTTTTATTCTTACACGTAAGAATATCCTGTCCCTTTTAAAATATAATTAATATTATTCACCAATATATATATATATAATTAATATTACTTTTTTTTCCTTTTTTTTTTCTGATAACATTTTTCCTTTTTTTTACAATAGACATTTGTTCGGTCTTAGAGAATCATATAATTATACCGTATGGTAGAGATATCTTAGGAATAGATATCTTGGTTGACTTATAGTCAATCTCTCAATCACTGTGCACAAGCATTAGGCTTATAGCTAAGACATGGGTGCGTGCACAATATTAACAGTAATAGTAAATAGGTCAAAAGTGTGTACCTGAGTCTTTAGTCTTTTATTTGTAGGGGTTACCTCTTGAGCTTGGACTGTGTAAATCTCCCAGTTGTTATAAGATTTAACCTTTTATTTGCAGGGATAAGAGTTTTATCTCCTTATCTTTATTATCATCTCATGTTGTTAAGATAATTGTGTCATTATCCATTAAAAAATATATAGGATAGCGGTTAAGATATAAATATATTCCGATTTCTTGTTTTTTTGTTTCTTTTCTCATCTCAATTTTACTTGATTTTTAATCACTTAATTCCGACAGGTTTTTCTTTTTTCTTTTTGGTAAAAATTACGACAGGTTTTATTCCGTAATTTCTTGAATTAAAATTTTACTATTACAAAGTTTTAGTAAAATACGCGAGTTTAACGTACCCAAAATAAAAGGCGTTATTATTGGGTATCCATTTTTTTAAATTTTGTAATAATATTTTCTGATTTGGATATATAGAGATACATTATAGTAGGGAATATCATTTCTGCATCTGCGACAGAAAAAAAATATAAAAAGTAAAAATAGAGTGGGTCCATCATTTAATCAGTTTTTGTCTCTTTATAGGTTTCTCTTATTTTAATTTATTTTTTGTGTTAGAATTTTTTTTTTCTGCCACAAATACAGAAATAATATTCTCATTGTAGTATATACTTTTTTATTTAATACATTATAGTATATACTTTGAGAGGAAAGAAAATAAACCTTAACGAGTTGAGCAAAATTAGTTACTCACCGCAACCCAACGCTAATATTCCCTTTGGCATTATTATTATTTTAGCAGGGGATGGAACGACGTCAGATGGAAACCGCTCTCCAGGGTTATAGCGGTTAATCAGGATCTGACGCGTCAGATCGAACGGTGACAAGTTGCAAATGGTGTGGGCCCAAAGATTGAGTGGCAAGTCACAACGGTCTCTCTCGGCTCACACTGAGACTCACCTTCTATCTCTCTCGTCTTCTCTTTCTCTGTAAACACCAAACCCTTTTTTTTTTTTTTTTTCTCTCACTTTTTTCTTTCGTTGCCTCTGCATTGCGTTCCTCTCTGTTTCGTGCGGTGGTCATTTTGGTCTTTTCACTCTCTCATCATTCTACCCTTCAATACAATCAGACGGTCCATCTCCTTCCACGTCACCTTCGTCTTCTTCATACCATCCCCACCTTCCTTTCTGTCTCACACCTTCCCCTTTCTCCCTCACTATATAACAATATTTTCACCCGCTAGGGTTTCTCATAGCCATCACCTTTTCTCATTCTCCATCGCACTGCGCAACCATCCACCCTCTTTCTTCTTCCTTATCGCACCATGTGTTGTTGCACTTCGTCTTTTGTTCCTCAATTTCATCCTCGCTGATTCTTCTCTCGCGATTGAGGTATTCTACGCCCAAATCTCCTCGCTTCTGATTCTCTGTCGTAATTTTAATTCGATTTTCTGAAATGCGTCTGTGGTTTAATTATTGTTATAATTATTTTCAACATGTTGAGATTGGTTTAATTATTTTTGTTATTTTCTGAAGTGTGGTGTTGCTTTTGTTAGGGTTTTGATTGAGATTTGTTTGTCGGGGGTTCGAATTTTTGAAATTGGGGTCCCTGAACGCGTTTTGGCGGCAGTTTCGTGTTATGTTTGATGGCGATTGAGAAGAACAGCTTTAAGGTGTCGAGGCTTGATTCCGAGTGTTCGCCCCGAAGTAGAGAAACTATGTCTAGTGATGAAGATGAGCTTCGGCGGCGTAACTCGGCTGTAGAATCTGACGACGAGGAGGAGTTTGATGATGCTGATTCTGGGGCGGGGTCTGATGATTTTGATTTGCTGGAATTGGGGGAAACTGGGGCGGAGTTTTGTCAGATTGGGAATCAGACATGCAGCATTCCATTGGAACTGTACGATCTTTCTGACCTTGAAGATGTACTGTCGGTGGATGTATGGAATGAATGCTTGAGTGAGGAGGAGAGGTTTGAACTTGCCAGGTATCTGCCTGACATGGACCAAGAGACTTTCGTTCTAAGCTTGAAAGAGCTTTTTACTGGTTGTAACTTCCATTTTGGGAGTCCCATTAAGAAGTTATTTGATATGCTGAAGGGTGGCTTGTGCGAGCCAAGAGTTGCTCTTTACAGGGAGGGATTGAATTTTTTTCAGAAGCGACAACACTATCATCTGTTGAGGAAGTATCAGAACAACATGGTTAGCAATCTTTGTCAGATAAGAGATGCTTGGCTTAACTGTAGAGGATACAGTATCGAAGAAAGGCTTCGTGTTCTGAATATTATGAGAAGTCAAAAGAGTTTGATGTATGAGAAGATGGAAGATTTGGAGGTTGATCCTTCAGATGAAGAGTCCGGTGAAGGTATATGGAGCAGGAAGAACAAAGATAAGAAAATCGCGCTGAAAATGGGTCGCTTTCCTTTCCGTGGGGTGGGTTCAGATTTGGAATTTCACCCACGAGGACGGTCAGTGGTTATGGAACAAGAAAATTATGGAAAGCAAAACCCAAAAGGTATACTCAAGTTGGCTGGTTCAAAGACACGTTCAGCAAAGGACCCAACAGGTCACTCGTCTTCGGTCTACCATGCTTTGGATATGAATCATGGGCTAAATGGTTCAGCTACTGCTCTTTCTCAACAGAATAAATCTGGGGGATATGATTCAAGGTCAATGCTCAGGATGAGGGATAAGCTGAGGAATGGCGACAATGATGAGGAAATGTCATATGGACAAAGTGTCCATCAAGATCGTAATGCATTACGTAGCAACCTGATGGACAAGTCTAGTGTTCTGAGAGTGGGAAACAGGCATGACCTCCTGAGAGGTGATGATATAACTACTGACTATTTGATGGGTCTGCCTCTTTCTTCAAAGGCTGATCTACATGGATACACTAGAAATGCAAACCAATCTTCTGATATGAAAATGTTCACAGCAAAGCCATCTTCTAAGAGAGGTTCCAACAATTTAACTAGAAAGGCTAAGTATCCTGAAAATGATCATCAATTTGTAGGTAGTGACCATGTGAAGTCTCGATTCAGGGGTTCAGAGTTACAGCTTAAAGTCAATAAGGTTGACCCATCTGATTATGATGAACTTTTCTTCAACAACAAAACACCGGGACAGGAATTTGGTATGGATTCATCATTTAAATATGATGATTGGAATCCAAAGAGCAAGAAATGGAAGGCAAGGACAGAGTCTCCGGATCTCAGTTATGCTGCTCATAGATCTTCCTCGCCACTGGGGAGTGATAGACTTCCATCCTCTGACTTCAGAGCAAAATCATTGCAAGAGAAGATCAGAGGGACTTTTAAACAGAATGGAGGAAAAGATATAGCAGCTTTGAGGGGTAACCGGATGCCTCTAAGAAATGAGGAAACTGAATCAGACTCATCAGAACAGTTGAATGATGATGAGGATAATCTATTGCAGAGCCAATTAGCTTACTCGATCAATACTGCTGCTGGTTCTCACATGAAATCATTGAAGTCACACCTAGATCCTAAGAAGGCCAAATTTGTTAGGACAGATATGAAGACACAGGTAATAACACAATCCAAAAGGAAGCGCAGCTTAGCAGAGCAGGGGCATATGCATGGTGTAGAAAATTATCTTTCAAAAGCAAAGCAAAGGGGTGAAATACGCAATGGTGGGCCTTTGCATAACCCAGCTGGTAAAATTATTGAAGAGAGCTATCCTTCAGGATCAGATATGCTTGATGATGGCGATAATGATCGGAGACAGGTATACAAGATAGGAAAGAATGGCCGAGTACAAGGGGAACCTGTTGAAAGGTTAGACATGCCCTCATCAAATGCATATGCTGCTGAGCGAAAGAAGAAAGGGAGAACTGGTCTAGATCATTCCATTCCAAGGTCAAAATATTTGCATGATTATGTTGGTAATGAGGATGACTCACTTGAAAAACGATTGCTAGCGGATGATAATGGAGTTGGACAGAGTAGGTTTGGGAGAAAAGGGCAGAAATATGCTGCATATAAGGGTGATCAAAAAGAAAGATCTGAGGCACCATTACTTGGTTGCAACTCAGGAACAAAGAAGCGAAAAGTGAAGGATGATACAGCAGATCTTGGTAGAAGAGGAGATGAAGATAATCTTCTGTCAAACACTCTCCTCCAAACAGATACTTTTTCGAAAAGAAAGTCAAAGAAAAAGGCAGAGGCTGAGATGGTTAATTCAAAAATGGAAATTTCTGAACTGCTTGGTACCGATATGGGGACAGCAGACATGGAACTGGAAACTAAGCCACAGAAAAAGCCATTTACTTTGATCACACCCACTGTTCATACTGGATTTTCATTTTCTATTATACACCTTCTTTCGGCAGTCCGCATGGCAATGATTAGTCCACTTGCAGAAGACAGCTTAGGAGTGGGGAAACCCAGAGAAGATCAGAACAAAGAACAGGAAGGCAGTATCAATGGTGTTCTTTCTGATGATAAGGTGGCTGCCAATTGTGAGCCTGCTGACCAACTAAATATGCCATCTCTTACTGTTCAGGACATTGTTAATCGTGTGAGATCAAACCCTGGTGATCCTTGTATTCTTGAGACACAAGAGCCACTGCAGGATTTGGTCAGAGGTGTTCTGAAGATATTTTCTTCCAAAACGGCACCCTTAGGAGCAAAGGGTTGGAAGGTACTAGCGGTTTATGAAAAATCTACCAGGAGTTGGTCATGGACTGGCCCAGTTTTTCATAATTCATCTGAACATGATACCATTGAGGATACATCTCCTGAAGCTTGGGGTCTTCCTCATAAGATGCTTGTCAAGTTGGTTGATTCCTTCGCCAATTGGTTGAAATGTGGTCAAGAGACTCTTCAACAGATAGGAAGTCTTCCTGCACCACCTTTGGCATTGATGCAAGTCAACCTGGATGAGAAAGAAAGGTTTAGAGACCTTAGGGCCCAAAAGAGTCTTAACACTATAAGCCCAAGTTCAGAGGAAGTAAGGGCTTATTTTCGTAAGGAGGAAGTTCTCAGGTACTCAATTCCTGACAGAGCATTCTCTTATACTGCAGCTGATGGTAAAAAATCTATTGTGGCACCTTTGAGAAGGTGTGGTGGTAAGCCAACATCAAAAGCCCGAGACCATTTTATGTTGAAACGTGATCGCCCACCGCATGTTACAATTCTTTGTCTTGTCAGAGATGCAGCTGCTAGGTTGCCTGGAAGTATTGGCACTAGAGCAGATGTTTGTACATTAATTCGAGATTCTCAATATATTGTTGAAGATGTTTCTGATGCACAAATTAACCAAGTAGTTAGTGGGGCCTTGGATAGATTGCATTATGAGCGTGATCCTTGTGTACAATTTGATGGGGAAAGGAAATTGTGGGTTTATTTACATAGAGAAAGAGAAGAAGAAGATTTTGAGGATGATGGCACTTCGTCCACAAAGAAATGGAAAAGGCAGAAAAAAGATGTTGCAGATCAATCTGATCAAGGAACGGTAACTGTTGCTTATATTGGGACTGGGGAGCAAAGCGGATATGACTTGTGCTCAGATCTCAATGTGGATCCACCATCCATTGACGATGATAAGGGAATGGAACTTTTGTCTAATGATACAAGGCTAAATGCAGAGGACCATGTTGATGTCAACCAGACTTCTGAAGAAGGCAATGCTTGCGAGGGTAATTCAATGGCTTGGGAGGCTCTTGGTTTAAATCCTGCTCGAGAGTTATGCCAGGAAAACTCGACAAATGAAGATTTTGATGATGAATCCTTTGGGAGAGAAAGGCCTGTTGGACTACCAAACGCAAGCTTTTTGTGAAGAATTCTACAGGTAGGTTTATACATCATTATGGCATTATTCTGCTTGCAAGTTGCTCTCTTTTGTTAGGTTGCGCTTGTTATATTTCATAACACCCTTGTTTATGGCACTATTTAAAGATAAGAAAGAGACATTAGATAAGCTTGCTGGTTTTGAGAAGTGAAATTTCATGAATAAAATACAGTATCTTCATTTATTTTTTTTAGCTGGGGGGTGGGGGGATATTATGGTTGTTCTTGGTGGTAAGCCTCCTAGGAAAACAGTATCTTTGTATTTCCCAGTCTTGTACCCTCGCAAAGTCGGGGATATTCCCGCCATTAGCAGTGGGATTTGTCCATTATTCTAGTTTTCCAATATTCAATTACTCTATTTTTTTGTCTTTTATTTGCATGGAAATTCTAGCAATTGGAGCATCTATTCTCGAATACTTGTGACTTAACGCAAAAACACATGTTTCTGCAGGCTTTTTAGACCATCATCCGCATTCAAGAGTTCAGTCATCCTGGTTGTAGCTGTGCTTGTATATAATGTGGACGCGGTAGCTTTGTATATTGATTTGATGTGAAAGAATAGAATACAGTGTGATCTTGTTGAAGATCAAGGGATTTGGTTGGGTTAACTGGATGTCTTTATGGCTTTACATCTCCTAAATAATACCTTTTGGGCCTCATTATCTGATGATATCAAGTTAGCCTCTTCTGTGATGGATCAAGGCTCAATGTGGCGTTGTTGTATTGCATCGCATAATTTTTATTTTATCTGTATATATAGTTCAATTAAGACATGATGTCAGTACAAAATAGCCAATAAGTCTGTTCACCCAAATGAATAGGACAAAATATTAAGGGATATATTTTTCTTATGTTGTAGGAAAAGAATTACCTCATGTTGTAGAAATAAAAGTATAAGTGGGACCCACATGTAAGAGGAGAGAGAAAAAAAAAGTGGTGGGACCCAACCCTTTTTGTGTGTGTAGGAGAGATGTTTATCTCATGTAAAATGAGATAAACATAACCCAAATATTAATTACCCTCGAGTCAAACAGTCGACCAGGATAAAAAACAGAAAACATTGTTGCTCATTGTTTGATGAATATTTTTATGATTGGGTGATCTGGTATTGAGAACAATGTTTGGCAAATGGAATAACAGAATGGGATGTATAATGTTTGTTGGAAGATATCCTTTTGGGTAGGGAGAGGGGGTTGTGCTTATTGAGAATCGAGTCAGGTGTTAGCATTTGAAGTGTTTAACTGGTCATTCTTTTTAGTAATTTAACACTGGTAATTTGGGATGAATTGGCCATGTATTTGTTAACAACTCCGATTGCAGAGTTCAAATTAAAAAGGAGAGCTGAAGAGGGATAGGCTTGTGACTTGGTTCCACTTTAGGTTGCGACCATATGACGAACTGGCTTAATTAATTAATTATTAACATTGTTAATTTTTTTTATTCATAATCATGGTTAACTATTTTTAATTGTCGTGTCACTCAAATTATTTAATTTGAAAACGTTGGATGGTAATTCTCTCATTGAACAATTTATTTAGGATTTAAATTTGGCTTAGAAAAACTTCATGCTATCATTGAAAATGACACTGAGAATAATTAAATTTAATTCTCCTAAGAATATATACGAAGAATAGACACGGTCTGAGAGAACATTTTTTAATATGAAAGTTCCAGGGTCCAGCCAGCCAGCCCAAACTCATAGATCGTCAGCTTGTCATGATCCATTAGCGACAAGAAAGGCTTTGTTCGTTGTGGCGCAGGTAGGGGTGAAACTGGGTCAGACCGACCTATAGGGATTTACGGCTCGACCTATGTCAGGCTAGACCTAACCTAACATATTTTGAAAAATAGACCGGGCTTAAGCCTTGAAAAAAACTTGTTTAATAAAAAGGTCGTAGGCCCACTTTCACAAGGTCTGGCCTATAAGCCTACAGGCCGGCCTATATTGTATTATTTATTTTAAATAATATAAAATAGAATAAGTATGCCTTGAAGAAAAAATAAAAGATATAAATTTAATCAATTACAATTATTTATAACTTAATTATATTCGATTATATTTTAATAGAAATATGACTTTATTTCTTTTGTAGGAACAACTAACATCTCAACATGTTAGATTGTGTATATAAATATATTAAAATATTTTTGGTAGAAATTATATTTACTACAAGCATCATGATGTGTTTGTTGGATTCATATAGTTATTTTAATTACATAGTATGGATTTGTTTGTTGGATCTGATGAAATATATGTTATTTAGTTTGAGCATTTTGCTTTTGAAAGTGACTTAAATGCAGATTGTAAGAGTTTTGTTGTGATTCATAATTCTGTTTGGACGTTGAAATTATAATTTTTGGTTTAGCAACATTATTTGAATATTTTGTAAAGTTGATTCATGGTTCTGCTTGGAAGTTTAAAATTAAAAGGCTAATGGGCTAGGCCATGCCATTTGTTTTTTCATAAACGGGTCAAGCCAGGCTAACAATTAGACTCGTACTAGGCTTGGGCCAGGCCAAATTAAAATTTTTTGACGTAGGCTTGGACTTTTCGGGGCAAAGCTTGACCCAGCCCAGCCCAACCCACTTTCACCCCTAGGCGCAGGTCACCTCCAAATGTTTCTCCTTCATGGGTTATCGCCCATCACCCGTGATTACTAAATGATTCAAAATTTTACGGATGATAATGCGAACATTGGCTGAGAGAAAATCAGTTTCAATTGCAGTTTGGAGTAAAAAAATTAGTAATGTAACCCAAAAAAAATGTTTTTTTAATTACAAGCTGCAACTTTTTCACACAGACGGCTTTGACTTGGGACCGAATTGTCAGTTCTTTGATGTTGATGTCATGCAAACAGATACGAGCCATGGACTGCCATGATGTCTTGGGCGATCGAACTATCTGAATATCAGCTCAGATACGAACCATGGACCGCCATCAAGACTCAAGCCCTTGTGGACTTCATAGACGAGATGACGCATACCTCCCTACCTGATAGCCAGATCGCCATGTCCTAAATGTCAGCAACATGGAAACTCTACGTTGATGGCTCCTCAAATGCCAAAGGATCTGGAGCTGGTATGATTATTGAAAATCCAGATGGACTGGCGGTGGAACACTCCCTGTCCTTCAACTTCAACATTACCAACAATCAGGCTGAATATGAAGCCATGATAGTCGGGCTACTCCAAGCCAAAGAGCTAGGAGTTCAACGCCTTAAAGTCTTCAACGATTCACAGTTGGTGACTTCCCAAATCTCAGGCGAATACCAAGACAAAGGCCCATTGATGTGCAAGTACCTTGAAAGGGTGAAAGTGATAATGCAAACCTTTGAGGCGGTTGAAGTGGAACATATCAGGCGGTCAAAGAATACCCGAGCCGACATCCTCGCCAAACTAGCCAGCACCAAAAACCCAGGTAACAACCGCTCTGGCATACAACATAATCTGCCTAATCCATGCATTGTCATGTGTATCTCAGACACAGTAGCTGAAACCACTGAAGAAACATGGATCACACCCATCATCAATTACCTGTCTGAGGGAGTCCTCCCATATGATCAGAAAGAAGCGAAGAAAGTAGTACGGAGAAGTGCACATTTCTGCTTTGTGCAGGGGCGTCTGTACAAGAGAGGTTGGTAAACCACACTCCTAAAATGCTTAAACCCTAGTGATGTGGGGTACGTTTTAGAAGAAATCCATGAGGGTTTGAATGACCACCACATGGGCGAGCACTCACTGGAAAAGAAAGCACTCAGAGCTGGCTTCTACTGGCCAACCATGGAGCGTGACGTCCATAATCATGTCAAGAAATGTGAAAAATGTCAAAGGTTCGCCGACGTACATAAAGCCCCGCTCGAAGAACTGACTTCAATAACATCCCCTTGGCCTTTCTACAAATGAGGAATGGACATTCTAGGCCCATTTCCCATGGCGGCTGGAAAAGTTCAGTGATAGTCGCCTTTGATTACTTCACCAAGTGGGTAGAGGCTGAACCGGTTGCTACCATAACATCCCAAAGGGTGAGAAAATTCTTTTGGAGAAGCGTCGTATACCGTTTTGGCATCCCAGGAAAGGTTATAATAGACAACGGTACTCAGTTCATAGATGCCAAATTCAGAGAACTAATGGAAAATCTGCAGATTAAACACCGCTTCGCCGCAGTTGAACACACTCAGACCAACGGGCTCGTAGAGTCGGCCACCAAAATGCTGGCTCGAGGAATCAAGAAGAAACTAGAATCACACAAATAAGTATGGGTTGAGAACTTGGATAACGTCCTATGGGGCTACATGACAACCGCCCAATCCAGCACTAGAGAAACGCCCTTCAGACTGACCTACGGTGCAGACGCCATGATCCCAGCTGAAGTTGGCGAACCGTCCTGAAGGAAAGATCACGTGATTGAGGTGACCAATAGCCAAAACCTCAAAGAAGCACTCGACCTTCTGGGCGAGCTATGGGAACAAGCCGCACAATCTGAACGCCACTCCAAAGAAAGTCCTCACCCCCACCAAACATTGACTGGGAAGGTTCTCACCACCCCCAATCAATCCACAAGTTACGGGATGGTCTCACCCCCGCCAAACGTTGATTGGGAAGGTTCTCACCCCCAGCTAACCCACAAGTTACGGGATGGTCTTCACCCCCGCCAAATGTTGATTGGGAAGGTTCTCACCCCCAGGAAACCCACAAGTTACGGGATGGTCTTCACCCCCGCCAAACATTGACTGGGAAGGTTCTCACCCCCACTTAACCCGTAAGTTACGGGATGGTCCTCACCCCGCCAAACATTGACTGGGAAGATCCCCCCCAGTCAACTGACAAGTTAATCAACTCGTAAGAACGCCAAAAGAGTATAAGATAATGGCTGAAGTCTCAACCAGAAGAAAAAACGAAAAGGTAAACAACAGAGCTAAATTAAACCCGACTACAGCCCAAAGAGTTGACGCCTTCTTTAGCCGAAGGTTCTGATTCAACCACACCTTCAGCAACAACAGCCTCTCCAACACCTTATACCCCTTCGGGTGCCACAGTGGCACCAGGTATCAACCCATGAAGACCTTGCGTAGTCATATCTCCAGGAACCCTGCAATCGGTTCCCGGGAGCTGGTCCTCCCCAGTGTTACGACCTTCCTCCTTTGACCCTTGAGCCTCCTCAATCACCTCCACCACATCGTCCGAGACGCGATGAACCAAACGATCATTTTCCACCATACTCAGGATTGAGGCCATCAACATCTAGCCCGGGGTAACGAAACAGTATTTGGCGGAGAGCATTGTTGAAAGACTCAGAAAAAACCTGAGCCAAGGCGGACTGAGACTGGTCCAAGGTAGATTGGGATTAGCCTAAGGCGGTCTCCAATTCCTTCACACGCCCAGCTGACCGCTCCAGATCTTGCTTGTTTAGTAAAGCAGCCTGTAGAGCCTCCTGAGCAGTCGTCAGTTCGACGGTCAACCCTTCCCTTTCCAGCTGGAGGTTAACTTTCGCCAATGTGAGCTCGTCCAAAGACTTAGACAAAATGTCATTCACCTGAGATAGGTGTTGACCTCCTCACTATATTTCTTCAACAACTCGTTACTGTCTTGCAAAGATTTGTTGGTAGCTTGCAAGTTGTAAACCTCCTTACCAAGCCGGCAGACCTCGGCGGTCAAATCTTCAACTTTGTGCCCTAGTTGGGCAAGGCGGTCACCCTGCTCAGAACAGCGACGACCACCAGCAAGAGCTGCCTCTTGGACCGCCAAAGCACGGGCAATAAGTACCTGCGTGCATTGAACAACCGCCCGGTAGTCAATCTGTTCAAGCACCTCCACATTCAACACAGGCTTTGGAAAACTCGAATCGAGATCCCTCTCAGATAGCCTTAGGGCTCGATTCAGCGAAATAGCAGTAGAAGAAGAGGACTCCTTGGCGCCCACCATAATAGCTATCCCCTCAGACAGATCAATGGCCACCAGTGC